TCTACCATTTCTTCCTGTTCTTTTTTCTTTACATCCTGATATTCTTTTTCCATTTTCTTCATACGTTTTGTATTGATTTTAATGGAATATGCCAATTGAAAGAAAGCCTCTGGATCAGCTTCTACTTTTTTGGGTAATTCTTTTTGGAAAAATTTCAACATAGCTTCCATATCCAAAGAGAGTAAAGTATCTTTACCCAATAGTAGTAAAGCCAATGCAACTTTGAATATGAATTCCATGCCTTCGCTGAGGAAAACATCCATAATACGTGATGAGATATTTAGATTTAATGAAGTTGTATAGAGAGTAAGGAACCAACTGGAAGCATACATGGTAGTTTGGAAACCCTAGAGGAGAGAAGGTGGAAGAGAAACAATGTTTATTTGTAGACTATAGACTAGACTAAAGAATAGACTATAGGCAAGACTATAGACTAAATTATAGACTAGACCATAGACTAGACTATAGACTAGACTATAGACTAGATATAAACTAGACTACAGAATAGACTATAGACTATACTATAGACTAGTCTATAGACTAGACTATAGACTAGACTATAGACTAGACTATAGACTAGACTATAGACTAGACTATAGACTAGACTATAGACTAGACTATAGACTAGTCTAGTCTATAGACTAGACTATAGACTAGACTATAGACTAGACTATAGACTAGACTATAGACTAGACTATAGACTAGACTATAGACTAGACTATAGACTAGACTATAGACTAGACTATAGACTAGACTATAGACTAGACTATAGACTAGACTATAGACTAGACTATAGACTAGACTATAGACTAGACTATAGACTAGACTATAGACTAGACTATAGACTAGACTATAGACTAGACTATAGACTAGACTATAGACTAGACTATAGACTAGACTATAGACTAGACTATAGACTAGACTATAGACTAGACTATAGACTAGACCATAGACTAGACTATAGACTGGACTATAGACTAGAATATAGAATAGACTATAGACTAGACTATTGACTAGACTAACAAAGTTCAAGAATCTAAACTCTTCAAATTATAATCTTATCTTCTCCACCTAACCTACCTGTTGTTGGAAGTGTATATGCATTTCTGGTATCTGTTCGAGCACCAAATTTTCCAATTGATACATGCACAAACCCAGTTCCGACATCGATGGCTTAAACATATCACGCATACGATGCTGTTGCATTATTTGAACCAAAACAGCAAAAGCCTCTTCCTCGGGCATTTGCATGAGTAGAAGACCAACAATAAAACCCGAACCCTGGCAATAGCCGACCTCACGATCATGTAAAGAATAGGCTTTGATAACATTAAATAAAGCCTCTTGACCGGGGCCATCTTTTTCCTTAAAGAAATCCACCTCGGGATAAGTACGGGCGATATCACGTCGTATCACCTTTTCACAAGCCGAGGTGGCCTTAATATATTCGGCATATTGTTTTTTATCAGCATCATTAGCACGCAAAGCTGTTGCCAAACAATGGCTCTGAAATCAAGAAATGTAAACAAATTAAAATCGTTAATTTAAAGACCTTTTAAAATCAAGAACTCACCTAAAATGATGTGGTATACCACGTCGTACTAGTTCTCTGACACAGGGATTTTTACGTTTTAAAGCTCCCTCCCAATCATTTAATATGGTGGCCCAAGTGGTCCAGATGTCCTCCTCGGCCACGGAATTGCCATCTGTTTTTTATTAAAATAAAAGTTATTATTAAAAGAGTTTCTTATCGTTAAAATTTATTTTACTAAAACTCACTTGATGTTATACTTATTTGACTAGTATCGGAATTTTTACGACTGTGTGTGGAATGCAATGAGTTTAGGGATTTTGCATCACTTTCAATCAGCTTATTGGCTGCCTCTAATTTTGCTAATAAATCCATTTCGGAGGTGGGTAAATTCTCTTCAGCTGTAGCACATTTAACATCCATTTTTTTACTGCTACTACTAATAGTTTCCTGTGTATTATTGGCTGTTGGTAGCGCTGGCAGTTGTAAGGGTCATTGCCAATATATTTCCTTTATTAGTTATTTTTAAATTTTGTAATTTTTGGGAAAATATTTCTGTTTGTGAATTACTTTTCTTTTTATATTGAAGAAAACAAATTTGTTTTTATTTTCTTCTTAAGATATTTTCCCCCAAAAAATATTGTTTTTATTTCCTGGTTTGGAATTTAATAATAATTTAACATGATCCCCTGTGTTTTTCGTTGGTTTGTATTGTTTTCAGGAAATAATTTTTTATTGTAAAAGAGTTTTTAAGCTGGAAAATAAAAAGAAAATTGCCATGAAAATTTATTAAATTAATTATGAGTTTGTTAAAAGTTGAGTGTAATTGAAGGTGGCTTATCAATTTTAAAAACTAAATGTAAAGTTTAATTTGAAGTCTAGTCTATAGTCTAGTCTATAGTCTAGTCTATAGTCTAGTCTATAGTCTAGTTTATAGTCTAGTCTATAGTCTAGTCTATAGTCTAGTCTATAGTCTAGTCTATAGTCTAGTCTATAGTCTAGTCTATAGTCTAGTCTATAGTCTAGTCTATAGTCTAGTCTAAGTCTAGTCTATAGTCTAGTCTATAGTCTAGTCTATAGTCTAGTCTATAGTCTAGTCTATAGTCTAGTCTTATAGTCTAGTCTATAGTCTAGTCTATAGTCTAGTCTAGTCTAGTCTATAGTCTAGTCTATAGTCTAGTCTAGTCTAGTTTTCCTATAGTCTATAGTCTAGTCTATAGTCTAGTCTATAGTCTAGTCTATAGTCTAGTCTATAGTTAGTCTAGTCTAGTCTATAGTCTAGTCTATAGTCTAGTCTATAGTCTATCTATAGTCTAGTCTATAGTTAGTCTATAGTCTAGTCTATAGTCTAGTCTATAGTCTAGTCTATAGTCTAGTCTATAGTCTAGTCTCTAGTCTAGTCATAGTCTAGTATAGTCTAGTCTATAGTCTAGTCTATAGTTAGTCTATAGTCTAGTCTATAGTCTAGTCTATAGTCTAGTCTATAGTCTAGTCTATAGTCTAGTTATAGTCTAGTCTATAGTCTAGTCTATAGTCTAGTCTATAGTCTAGTCTATAGTCTAGTCTAGTCTAGTCTATAGTCTAGTCTATAGTAGTCTATAGTCTAGTCTATAGTCTAGTCTATAGTCTAGTCTATAGTCTAGTCTATAGTCTAGTCTATAGTCTAGTCTATAGTCTAGTCTATAGTCTAGTCTATAGTCTAGTCTATAGTCTAGTCTATAGTCTAGTCTATAGTCTAGTCTATAGTCTAGTCTATAGTCTAGTCTATAGTCTAGTCTATAGTCTAGTCTATAGTCTAGTCTATAGTCTAGTCTATAGTCTAGTCTATAGTCTAGTCTATAGTCTAGTCTATAGTCTAGTCTATAGTCTAGTCTATAGTCTAGTCTATAGTCTAGTCTATAGTCTAGTCTATAGTCTAGTCTATAGTCTAGTCTATAGTCTAGTCTATAGTCTAGTCTATAGTCTAGTCTATAGTCTAGTCTATAGTCTAGTCTAGTAGGTCTAGTCTATAGTCTATAGTCTATAGTCTAGTCTATAGTCTAGTCTATAGTCTCGTCTATAGTCTAGTCTATACTCTAGTCTATAGTCTAGTTCTATAGTCTAGTCTTTCTAGTCTAGTCTATAGTCTAGTCTATAGTCTAGTCTTTAGTCTAGTCTATAGTCTAGTCTATAGTCTAGTCTCTAGGTCTAGTCTATAGTTAGTCTATAGTTTAGTCTATAGTCTAGTCTATAGTCTCGTCTATCGTCTAGTATATAGTCTAGTCTATAGTCTAGTCTATAGTCTAGTCTATAGTCTAGTCTATAGTCTAGTCTATAGTCTAGTCTATAGTCTAGTCTATAGTCTAGTCTATAGTCTAGTCTATAGTCTAGTCTATAGTCTAGTCTATAGTCTAGTCTATAGTCTAGTCTATAGTTAGTCTATAGTCTAGTCTAACTGGGGAATAATTTTCTCCCTAGTTGTTATCAAAACCAGTAGTATTCACTAACCATTACCAAATTGTTGACATCTGATTTGTCATTCTAAGTTTTACATCAATAATCCGTATCTTCTAAGGTAGTCTAAAACGTCAAATTGTAGTCATTAAATTCTAAACTTTTGACTCTTAATATAATCAATTTATCGGAAATATAAAAGAGAATCGGTTCTCTAGTTAAAGTTTTAATACCAAGAGCAGATTTAAATTAAACCAACAAAAACGTCTTTACTATACGAACTCTCCTGAGCGAGTGAAGTTTTCAATCCTTAATATAAACAAAATTCTAAGCAAACTGCATTGACAACTTTCTTTACTCTTAAAGTATGAGAAACACACAAAACAACTAAATTGTTAATGACCTAAATTTTGCGGTTAAATAAACAAAACACTTATTTACAAAAAAAAGCCGCCGGTCTAAACAAAAAAAGATGAGCCCCCAATTGTTTATATCAAAAAAAAAAAAAAAGTAATTGGTCTTTTTTTGTCTTTATCCCACCAAACAAAACACTAATAATGCACAAAAATAAAAGACAGTTTAAAGAGCATAAATAACAATAATAAAATAAAAAACGCTTTTGGCATTAATATTTAATTGTGTTGTATTTTGAACAAAAATAACCTTGGCCAACAAAACAATAAAAAAATAGTTAACATTTTGGAACTAAAACAAAATATATAAATATAAACAAAAAAACAAATGAAGGAATGACATAAAAAAGGGAAATAGGAAAATTACTTTTTATAAAAATAATAATTGATAAACGAAAGGATAACACGACAAAAAAGGACAAATTAATGTAGGTCAAGTTTATTAATAATAACGATTTTTATCAACTAATGTTTTTAGGTTAACGGCTGACAAACAGAAACTAATAAACAAAATACTACTACATAGGCTGTTGTCTATTTAATTGTTTAATGATTTCTTATATGTGTTATACAAAAAAAAACAAACCATCTAATAAATCATTTTTAAACGTCAACGTCATATACTTAATAGTTATTTATCATTTTCCATGATTCACTTTCTCCAAACGTCATTAATTCTGTAATTTCCAATCACTCACTGTACATGCAGACATTTAATTTTAAAGAAAAAATGTTTTGAAAATTTCATTAAATGATTATTTATCTAAATTACCCAACCTAACTAATTTACTACATATTAAAATTTTGTGTTTTTTTAAGTAAATTAAAAAGTTTAGACACTTATTAATTTTTTTGTTTTAATATTGCTTAAGGCGTAAAGCCTCTTGGGGAATAGGAAAGTAACTTCTTTGGCGTCGTAGTTTTTCTGTAATTTCTCTAATGTCTGTTTAACTACTAAAGTATAATTAGTCTTATTTTTTTAAATAAATAAAAATGAAAAATATATAAAATAAATAACAATGTGGGCAGTGAATTGATACACTGCAAAAAAGGAATTTTCTATTGTAAACAAATAGGGAATGATTTAATAATATTCTCTTAAATGTATTTACAAAATTTAGTTAATACATAAGACGGTATTTTGGCTTAAGGGAAAAGGAGTGGAACAGCAAGGCGATGGCGAAAGGGAAGGAGAAGGAGGGGGTAGAGAGGATGGGGAGAACAAGATGGGGAAGCCACGGAACGGCGAAAAACAAGGGAGGAGGGCAGAGAACAAGAAGCGGGATCAGAGGCGGGCGAAAGAACGGCGGCTAAGAGCGGGGAGGAAGCAGGGAAGAGCGATGCGGAAGGCAGGCAGCGAGCGAGCGAGCGAGCGAGCGAGCCGAGCGAGCTAGCGAGCTAGCGAGCGACGGGTCGAGCGAGCGAGCCGATCGAGCAGCAGCGAGCGTAGCGATGCGAGCGAGCGAGCGAGCGAGCGAGCGAGCGAGCGAGCGAGGAGCGAGCGAGCGAGCGAGCGAGCAGGAGCGAGCGAGCGAGCGAGCGAGCGAGCGAGAGAGCGAGCGAGCGAGCGAGCGAGCGAGCGAGCGAGCGAGCGAGCGAGCGAGCCGAGCGAGCGAGCGAGGCGGAGCGAGCGAGCGAGCGAGCGAGCGAGCTAGCGGCTAGCGAGCGAGCGCAAAGAAACGAAACGAAACGACGAGCGAGCGAGCGAGCGAGAGCGAGCGAGCGAGCGAGCGAGCGAGCGAGCGAGCGAGCGAGCGAGCGAGCGAGCGAGCGAGCAGCAGCGAGGCTAGCAGCGAGCGAGCGAGCGAGAGCGAGCGACGAGCGAGCGACCGAGCGAGAGCGAGAGCGAGCGAGCGAGCGAGCGAGCGAGAGCGAGCGAGCGAGCGAGCGAGCGAGCGAGCGAGCGAGCGAGCGAGGCGAGCAGCGAGCGAGCGAGCGAGCGAGCGAGCGAGCGAGCGAGCGAGCGAGCTAGCGAGCGAGGAGCGAGCGAGCAGCGAGCGAGCGAGCGAGCGAGCGAGCGAGCGAGCAGCGAGCGAGCTAGCGAGCGAGCGAGCAGCGAGCGAGCGAGCGAGCGATCGAGCGAGCGAGCGAGCGAGAGAGCGAGCGATCGAGCGAGCGAGCTATCGATCTAGCTATCTATCGAGAGCTATAGCTATCTAGCGAGCTAGCTATCTAAGTCTATCATCTAGATCTATCTATCGATATCTATCGATCAGATATCTATCCTATCTAGTATCTCTCTATCTATCTATCTAGTCTATCTATTCTATTATCTATCTAGCTATATCTATCTATACTATTCATGGGAATTCTTTCCCCTTACTTACTCCCTATTTTGTTAAGTGTTGTATTGCAGATAAAAGAAATATAATAGAAATATTTCCTTAAATCTCACACAAACGCAATTATTTATTTCTCGCATATTTGTTTAAATAAATAAATACTAAAAAACACAATACATTAAAAACAAGAGAGTTCGTTATCATAAATAATAATTTCTACCAAAAAAAACCTAAACAACCACCTAATAATAATTATAGTTTAATAACCAGAAGCGGCCTTTTCCTTTTTTAAACTTAAAATGCGCAAAAAATAAATCAATTTAAAGTTAAAATATTATTAAAACTGCTGCCCTTTGTCAGTTACAAAATGTCATTCATATTTTTAATCACAGTATTTATATATTACAAAGTTTCATGGAAATGTTAATATCTAGTAAATCTTTTTATAAAACATTATTTATTGCCAATTGCAGTGTTTGTAGGTTTGTTATTTTTAAAACACAATATTCAAATTTAATTGTCGATATGACTAAATAAACAAACTGTGATAAGATTTCTTGAATAAAAAAACCTTAAATTTGCAGTCGTTTTTAACACTTGAAATACTCAAAAAATTCTTATCTTAA